CCCACACCGAAAAGAATTGGTCTACTTTCCTAAGGTAGAACAGGTAACATTTTAGCTTAGGTGGATCCACTAGCAAATAACCTATCTGGGTACATAGTTATGGGATAAGGAGGTTGTTACTAGGAAGCCGACCAGTTATAGAGAGAGCTTCCACCTCACAATATCAACTCGGTGCTAAGCATTAAATTCCCATGGAGTAGTTAATTATCTTTTAACATCATTGCACATGAAAGGGACGTCATTGGCCTATCGGTTCAAGGTACAACATTAGAAAAACTCATTGAATCCTCATGAAAGAGGTACCATTGGTCTACCGATTCAAGGTTCATTATAATAGTTCATTGACTCCTCATGAAAGGGGTGTCATTGGTCTACCGATTCAAGACAAAGCCTTAGAATACTTCATTAGTCATTCATGAAAGGGATGCCATTGGCCTACCGATTCAAGGTATATCATTAGGATAGTTCTTTAATTACACATGCAAAAGATGCTAAGGCCTACCGACTCAAGGTATATCAATCAAGATAACTTTTAATCACACATGAAAGGGATGCCATTAGCCTACCGATTCATTTAAGTGAGGAAAACATTTCACAACATGCCATCATCATTCATAAGTGTATAATTTAGAATAGCCTTTAAACAACACCACAATTACATTATAGTTATAATCACATTACTTTCAAAGTATTCATAAAACATGTACCTAAACATCATGATTATACATAATTCTCTTAATTTTCCCTTCAAGGACCATGGATCATAATTCACCAGCACATCTAGAATTACTACAATAGACATGGATGATAACATGATTCAAGTAATCAATTCATAACATTCATAAGTCTATAACATTCAACTTGCATCAATCAATACCCTCACTTTAAGATCCAATTTGAGAAAATAGGGTAATTCATGGATTCTTGAAGAATTCAACTTAAAATCATAAAAAATCATCAATATATCCATACAAAAACATAATTAAATCATTTAAAACAAATTTGAATGGAATCCATGAGATTGAAGTCAAACCTAACATTTGGGTTTTCTAACTTTGAAATTGGGGTTTTTGGAGGGGCTCTGTGGGTGAAGGCTACCCATACATGAAGAGCTACCATACATTATTGAAGATTCCCCACGAATTTGAGGAGAAAATCTTGATTCTTCAATCCTAGCTTCACCTTTCTTCTTCTTCCTCCTTAGAATTCTAGAGAGAGTTTATTTGGGGAAAAGTTGGTTATGGGTTTGGGGTCTTGGGATTTAAGAGGTGAATAGGTTAGTTAATGACTTAAAAACTCATATATAGGTGAATTAATACTATACAAAATGACTACACTTAATGCTTAATTAAAAAGGAATTTACCTAAAGACCCCTAACTTAACCGACTTGGGACAACAAGCAGGCCCCATCCACGCCCCTACCTATGGGGCATGGACTGACTTACAACCCCTATTGGCAGGGCGTGGGTTGGGGTCTATAGCTACTAGATTTGTCCCTTGACCTACGAACCTCTCCCACGAGGCGTGGATGGACCTACGCCCCGTAGGCCCTATCTGTGGTTCACTTGTTGGGGCAGTTTTGGGGTTAGGCTTTAGGGTCCTCCTCAAGGACCCTTAGTTGGTCCTTGGGGGGTCGTACCTTGACGTTTAACCCCTAAACCCTTCGTTCTAAGTTTGAGAAGCAAGTTTTACGACTCTTACACTTACGATAAGCTCTAGTTAAGCCTACTAGTTTCCGAGGTGTTGGGGGGGGGGGAGATTTCCACAATAACTTTAGAAGTCGAAGGTGCATCCTTCTTCGACTTTAACTTCTCCACATTTGAATTCTTCATTAATAACGGATCGTGCCTTTTTTGGATCTATTTCCTGAATTTAGTTGGGCAATACCAATATTAAATGAATGAGCATGATCCATATGTATCAGGAAAAAAGGATAAAAACAAATTTTTTTTTGAAAAAACGACAATGGAGAATACGAAAAGTACTTATTCAATGGTTTGAATTTGATTGACTAGAGAGAGAATCCTTTTGAAATTCAAATTGAGAGTTTTTGGCTAAAAATATCCCTCAAATATACTCTAAATTTAAACGACATCCCTCTACTACCATAGTGACCAAAAACACATCCCTTAACTATCCTAAAATTGGTCAGATTCACCCTTTCATTTTTTTTCTTGATAGAAACTAACTGTTAAACTCATTTCCTTTTATGTAAATAAAGCTAGAATTAACTATGGATAAACATGTGGCATTTTTCACATATTAAAGTTGCAATTCTTCTCATGTCAATATGATGAAAAATACATAGTAAAATATTTATAAAAAGTTCACATAATTAGAATCTTAAGAAACGAAAAGTGTCACATAAATTGAAACAAAAGAGTATTTTTTTTATGTAATATCTAAATATGTTATTTTAATATTTTAAAAAATACGGCCTATCAAATTTACACAAAAACAAAAATAAAAATAGACTACCTACATACTTCAAATTTCCTCATTCGTCTAAGAAATAACGAGAAAATTGTACATTTTTTTTCTTATAATATTCTTTTGCTTATCTGATCAGTAATTATATAGGGCGAAAAATAGTTTACTCGAAATTTTTTACTCACTTTTTACGGAAACATCGTGGTTGCTACTGTGAAGTTGAGGATGAAAACCTATCTTCCTAGCTCATTCAGTTTGGTTAGGATTGTCTATTACTAATTATAAGTTAAGAGAAGAATGGGAGCAAACGAAATGGGGGATTTCTAGCTTCATCAATCGTTAGTTTTTTAACAAAAACTAATTGAAGGATGAATCTTGCGATTTTGTAAGATAATTGAAGGATGTTTTTCGTTCATTGTGATAGAGCAAGGATGTAGTTTAAACATAGAGTATTTTAAGGGATGTTTTTGGCCAAAAACTCTTCAAATTGAGATAAAAATTGTAACTGATAAGATTGTGAAGTGAAATTAGGGAGAGATTAAATGAGTGAAAAAAGGAAGGGAAAACGTGGGTTAAGATTGGGATACTTATATATCCGACTGACTTGAGAATTGGGAAAAATAATGGATTTTGAAATGATAGGAAATAATGGAAATAATGGAAATAATGGAAAATAAAGGTGTGTATATAGATAATTTTTCCTTATAATAATGTGTACTAATAACTTTAAGTTTATAAAACTAATCAAATTTTAAATTAAAATTAACTAATATTTGTTATTAATTCATTAATATTTTTAAAAATTAATTATGAAAAATTATAAATTAAAGAATATAAGTAAATAAAATTTACAAACTAAAATTTGTTTTACTTTTAATGACTTATATAATACAATAAAATTAGTAGGATATATGAATTAAAAAAACCTTAGTAGTCGTTATGAACCGCTCCATTTTAACATGACCCGTATCATATTAACTTATTTAATTACTTGGATCGACTCTATCTTAGGCATGTGATGAATAATATTCGAGATAATGACATAAATAGGCCCTTAATTATAGGAGTAGGTCTAAAATTGTGTCTTAACTATACACTTAACCGATTTAGTTCTTTAACTATTCAAAAACTTATCACCTTTGGTCCCTTAACTATACACTTACCAGTTTTAGTCTCTTAACTATAAACTTAACGATTTTAGTCCTTTAAGTATTCAAAAACTTATCGGGTTTGGTCTTTGTCCATTTTTAAAATACAAATAGCTTAGACTTATATTAACGGAATCCATGTATCGAGAAATTAAATCCATTAGCAATTTATCCTATTGTTTCTCTCACTCCACTACTTTTTCTTCAAATTAACCTTATGCGAGAACCTTAATCTCAACGATTTAAAATAAAATTCACGAGGAAAGAAAATATAAGTCATAATTTTATTCAACGGAAGATAAAATGAAGCATATTATTGCTACTAATGTCTTGAATATGCAAAACTTTATTATAAAAAGAAAAAAAAACTATTACCCGTTAAATCCAAAGTTTGTACCCCAACGACTTCATTGAACGAAATTTGTTTAATTTTTCAGAAATTGAAGTTTATAAAATGATAGATTTGTAATTTTTTTATTTTTTCAAATAGATCAATTTTATTAGTCTATTTTATTTTACGTAAAGAAATTTGAGTAAATTAAATAAACTCCGCACTGATTAGCATATTCAAGTGCGGATTCAAGTCATTAACAATTATATGCTTAATTTTATCCTCATTGAATAAAATATCATCTTTCCTCATTAATTTTATTTTGAATCATTGACGTTATTCTTCTTTTCATAAGAGTAGTTTGAAGAAAAAGGGGAGGGGATAGAGAAAGAATTTTAAAAATGGATTAAAGATTTAATTTCACGAAGATTTTCGTTAATATAAACCTAAGCTATTTGTATTTAAAAAATGGACAAAGACCAAACTTGATAAGTGTTTGAATACTTAAAGACTAAAATCGGTAAGTTTATAGTTAAGAGACCAAAACTGATAAGTTTTTGAATAGTTAAATGACTAAATCTGTTAAATGTATAGTTAAGGGACCATTTTTGACCTACTCATATAGTTAAGGGACTATTTATGTCATTTTCTCAATAATATTCCATAACAGAAATCATATACTTTCTCCGTTCAATAATAGTTGTCGATTTTACTATTTTGCATGTTCCATTTTATGAAATCAATAGATAGTTTTACATTTTGTTTCTAATTTACATTTATCAGTAATTATAGTCATTCTCTATTACATTTTTTAAGTTGTATTTATTATATTCAAAAGACGATAGAATAAAAATATTGTTCTACTTGTACTTTTTTTAAAATTACGTAAAGTCAATAATAAACAACTATTATAGAACAAAGAAGGTAACATTTAAATACTACCCATTTTTTGGACATATATCCCCGCATCAAATTATTTCTATTTTTACTTCCTCAATCAAATTTCTTTACGTTTTTTTAATATTTTATATTTATTTGTTACTTTACAAAAAACCCTTTGTAGGCCACCGTTTAGGAATTCCACGCAGTAAGACAGAAGAAAAACAGCCACCGCGCAGGTCCGTTCTTGTTTCTTTCCTAAGATTTTGTTGAATTTGATTTGATTAGTGAGTGCTGTTTCATAAATTCCTTCATGGGTCTGAAAAAAAGATATGAGTTTGATGGAATCTGGAGCAATCTTGGAATATTTTTTTGTTCTGCTTCTGTTTGTTGGATTGGATATTGGAGTTTAGATTTTGATCTTTTGGTGGTGTGACCATAAACAGTGAGAATGGTCTTGTCTGAATATATTAGATTTCTCAAGTTCAAGAACTCATTTTTAGGTCATGTAATCATTCTTCTTGGAAAAAAAAAAGTTGTAACACTACTAAATATGGCTATTTTCATAGATATTCTGTTTGAATCGGTGTGAAAAGAAAAAAATAGTAGTGTTTTCGTATGGAAAAATTACAAAGTTCCCAATAAGAATATGTTTCTTAGTGAGTTGGTTTGGTGGGAAATGGGTGGGAAAATCATGTTCTATAGCACAAATTTTCCACTGATTCACGGTGAGTAAAACCTTTGTTTCTAGTAGTGTAATTGTTTTTTAATCAGGTGAACAAAACATTGATTGATTAATGATGTTTAGACGGAAGAGATAATGTGTGTGATTTTTCTTAATGATGTTTAGATGAAACAAACCACGTGTATTCCCATTCAAAAACGTAGAGAATATTCACTACTTGACTAGTTGGAGATTTGAGATTTTCTTGTTCCAAAATTTGAGAAACTGCTTACTATTAGTAGTTTTTTTTTTTATGCCTTAGTGAATAGAGTTAGTTGGTATGTGTTGGTGTAAGGTAATGGTTACTCAGACTGTTATGAAAAATATTTTCCTCTAGACTTTCTATCTCAAAAAGGGGTATTGTTGCGGTTATCAACAGGTCATTGACGTTATGATTACAATCATTGTTTTATCAACAGGTCATAAGATGTTATCGCCTAATACACTTGATAGTTAAATGTGGGGCGTCGTGCGTTTTAATTTTAAAACAATCACTCTGTATCCTGAAGAAGGCAATCGGTTTAATTGGTGAAAAAAAAAGAAAATGAACAACACACTTCAAGGGGTGTGAATTTCTCTTGTTCCTTTTTACCCTGTATCCCACTTATGGATGGCTAGATACTGAAATGTTTAGTCTGAATTGAGGGCAAAAATAAAAGCTTTTTGCTAGATTATGTGTTTTCTATGTTACACGCCGAGTAGATGTTGCAGACAGGAACGCTATTCACATTATAGTAGATTAAACTGTAATCAAATATCTGTAGAATTTTCGAGGATCCATGATAGTATAATATTTAAATAGAGCAAATAACGTGTCATTTTCTTTTTGGATGATCATATTATCTTGTACATCTTGTTCTTTAATCTCTTCCATTTTTAACAATTTCACTGATTGGAGATGAAACTCAATGAGCATTGCTATCACTTATGACCTATGTTGCTCGGACTCTTCAAAAATGTCAACGGGTGCGTGTTGGATTCTCCAAAAGTAGTGTATTTTTGGAGAATTTGACACGGATGCAGCAATGAAAGTGAAAAGTTCGCGCAACTTAGCTTATGACATTACACAGAGAAATGTGGGACCGTTGTATTATTTTTCCTTGCTAGCAGTATCAGCCAAGTTATCATTCTGCTGCTTTAGGGAAGTCAGCCTAAACTATCGTAACTGTTTACACTGACTCGGGAGCCATTTCAGTGGTAGTGCTTTTATGTTTCTGCACACATTTTTCCTAATTGTTTCATGCTTTCATTTTCTACAGTTTTACTTCCGTTCATTTTTTCTTCTTTTCCCTTTCTAAATTAAACTTGTATTACTCTTTTCTGTTACTTCGCATGGTCTCCTAAATCATTGTTTCACATGATTCTTTCTTGACTTTCTTGTCAAATGATTTAAATACCAACCTTATTGATCTTAAATTCATTGTGGTATTTGCTCCAGCAGACAGCACTAATGTCCCATAAAATGGAGAGCGTTACCAATGTCATGGAGTATGAGATCCTAGCAAAGGAGAGGCTACCCAAAATGATATATGATTATTATGCCTCTGGTGCAGAGGACCAGTGGACACTCCAAGAGAATCGAAATGCTTTTTCTAGGATTTTGTAAATATTTCTATAAACGTATCAACACTGTTGGTATTCTGACCTGTTAACCTGAAGCATTTGATATGTAATAAGATTGAAAGTTTGAAAAGAATTATCTTCTATAAGCCACTGAGATTTCCTCTTCTTCCAAATAGGTTTAGGCCCCGTATTCTTGTAGATGTTAGCAACATTGATACAACCACAAGTGTCTTGGGATTTAAGATTTCAATGCCCATCATGGTTGCACCGACTGCAATGCAGAAAATGGCTCATCCCGAAGGTATCTTCTATGGTTTGTTTGAATTATGGCAAAGAGAGTTCGTTGAGTTCTATCTATCGTAGTGATTCTGTGTTTGTGATTCGGACATGCATGTATGGGACTTCATACTGGTCTGGAGCTACAGTCTGCTGTTCTTCATCTTCTTCCTTTCTTCTTCTTGAAGGGATAATTACTGATTGGTACTAAAATGGTGCACATCAAGAAAGTTTGGATGGAATACATTGTTGTTTTCGATGGGTAACACTCCTGAAAAGTCAGAATTTGAAATAGTTTACTTTGTTGTTTAGAGTATGGAATGCCCTTTTTCAGAATTACCAAGAGAAATGATTCCAAATTGTAGCAAGTGTTTCACATCCTGTCTTGTATCGTACAGTTGTGAGCTTTGACTTACCACATCTCACGGAAAATATAGCAAGTGAGCTCCTTCTTTTAGAGTTATATTTGTCACAAAAACTCAAGGGGTTCACATCAGAAGCTTTTACTTGTTTTTTTAAAAAGCTTTATGCTATAGGTAGACAACTGTTTGAATGTGGTAGCTTCAGTTAGTAGCATATGCTAAGCTAAATAACTATCAACTTCAGATTAACTTGAGACATGGTTAATACTGTGAATTCTGAGATTGTAAGTGATACTTGGCTGGAATCGCAGCATGTTTTATCTTATTTTCGTTAGATGGCAGGAACTTTTTGTGCGTTTCTTCTTGGAGTGTGTCTGATTTGGTTCATTCAGATATTGGAAGTTTTTCAATTTGCTTAAGTGATCATAATCTTGTGGTGACCAGCAACTCTTGTCTTATAATCCAATACTTCGATGCAGGAGAATATGCAACAGCGCGAGCAACATCAGCTGCTGGTACCATCATGGTTTGGATTTCTATAGCCCCCCTCTGTGCTTATAGCCCTACATTTCATTATTTACATACATATCCCTGCTATCAACTGAAATTTAGTTGGTAATTTTAGACATTATCCTCATGGGGTACTTCCAGTGTAGAAGAGGTTGCTTCAACAGGACCAGGCATTCGCTTTTTCCAGCTCTATGTGAGTTTTTCTGTTCATTGTTCAGATTAGCTCTTATATATGTTGTGAAGCATGGGTCAAAAGGAGGAAGTGCTTTATTTTGTTTACCTTCGATGGATTTATATTCATATTACAGAAGCCAATCATGGATATGAACTAATATTGCTTCATCATGCAAATAAACAGTGAGAGAAGAGAAGAGAAGTAAGATAGGAAGTGTCTTAAGAATTGGTTCATTAATAGCATGCAGTAATTTGAGCTACGTGAAATAAGGAAGTTCCCTAGTTGTAATGACATGAAGTTCCCCAATTGTAATGACATACTCTACTAACTATTAAGAAAATTCAATCAAAATCTTGCTGATTCTCGACTTTCAGAAAGTTCATTAAGAATTTTCTATGCAACACTTTTAGTGATTCTCTCCACTTTCAACATGCAGCTTCAAATGTTAGGTAGTAAAACAACTTAAGTCGCAAATAAAAACTGGAAAATAGAGTTGAATATCAGAAAAAGTAGCCGCTGAAGAAGCATTCATTTGGCTAATATTTGTCTAAATATACTGTCTTTGGATATAAATTCACTTGATGCTGCCATGACAAAATTCAATTGTGGTGCTGTGAAACTAACTTGGTTGTGTTGAATCCCTGAGAAGTGGCGGAACTTGAGGACTTGGGTACTACTAGTTTGACTAGATGACAAAGGCAAATAGGCTGCCAACTTGACCAAATCCTGACAAACCAGATTTGGCTCGGAGTAGGCGATGATTTGACAATGACATGACCAGACAATGAAATAGTATTGATTCTGCAATAACTTATCGCTGACTGGACAAAAGTTATTTGATGACTTGACAGGTCAGCCGTCAGCCGACGTGAACATATAACATAAAAGATACATATCGGAAAAATGTGTGCTGCTGGAGTGGTAATTGGAAATATACCAGAATAGTAAAGCGTGAAGGGAATAAAATCATTGGTCAGGTGGGCAGCGTAAGGCCACTCTCCTGGATGCAGAATCTGTTTAGATCTCTACCAAAATCGTGGAGGCTTTGATACCATATTATCGATTGTTTTTGAAGTCTTTTTTTGTGTCTTTGCCAAATCTTTAGTCTTTCTTTCTCTGGTTAATTTCCTTTTTCCTTCTTTTTCCTCTGATATTGTCTACACCTAGTCATAACTAACAGATATTTATATGACAACTGGTTTAACATGCTTTCCATTTTTAGATGAGGTTATTATCTAGAACGCAACCTTGAAACCTTTAGGTTTTATTATACTTTTCAGCTGTATAAAGACAGGAATGTTGTTATGCAACTTGTGAAAAGAGCGGAAAGGGCTGGTTTTAAGGCAATTGCCCTTACTGTGGATACACCTAGACTTGGCCGTAGGGAAGCTGATATAAAGAACAGGTATTTGGCACAAGTATCTATTTTGGCAGTTCATGATCTGAAGGTTCTGATTGTTTAATTTGGTCTTCAGCTAGTCTTTTTCCATAAGCAGAGTTGATTGATATGGTGGTTTCCATTTGGCTTCTGACAGGTTTGTTTTGCCACCTAACCTGTCACTGAAGAACTTTGAAGGACTGGATCTTGGAAAGATAGATAAGGTAAACAACATTAAAATCAGACATACTTGAGACTAAAGTTTTTAAGTTGTGCATTTTTTTCTGACTGCACACTTTGTTTGGTGAACCTGCAGACTGATGACTCTGGACTTGCTTCTTATGTTGCCGGGCAAGTTGACCGGTCTCTTAGCTGGAAGGTACACTGCTGTTTTACTTAATCCGTGCAGGAATAATGGATGTATACTTATTGTCATCTGAAAACTCTCTTGTTAAATTTGGACAGGATGTGAAATGGCTTCAGACAATAACACACTTGCCAATCTTACTGAAGGGTGTATTAACTACAGAAGATGGTATTCAAAAATAATATACGTGAACACCCTAATTTTTTTTTCTCTTCTATCCACCTCCATCTTTCTTTATACCTCCAGTTTCGTCTGGTCGATTGCATTTAGTGACTTCCCTTTGTTGATAAGTTTAGCAAGGCTAGCTGTAGAATCTGGAGCAGCTGGAATTATTGTGTCTAACCATGGGGCTCGACAACTTGATTATGCTCCTGCTACAGTTATGGCCTTGGAAGAGGTTAGCTTACTAGTTTATTTAATCTTTGATGCCTTTCTACGTTGCAAAATAGTTGAGCTACACTGCTCAACTGTTACTAAATTGATGCATATTGCAAACCTTTTGTACGTTTTCTCCCCTTTCTTTCCCCCTCATCTATATAATAAGCATGTAGAGACTTCTCATCTTCACCAAGCTGTGCGTAGTAGAAAATCCCGTAAAAGTTAAACTAATGGTGCTTTTCTCTTGCTTCACTCTGTGCTTCCTTCACTTCCCTCTTTTAAAAATGTGGGGTTTGGGGTGGGAGTTAAAGGGAGGAGAATGTAAATTGTGTACCATGTGTGTGATTTTGTTATGAACCAAGTCCAGCCCAATGTAGATACTAATGTCATACAAGTTGTTATTAGGCTGAAAAGGGCTATTGGGCCGAGAACGAGCAATAGGGCCAGGTTAATTTGGAATCCGGGTTGAGTAGTGGGCATGAAACGGTTCCAACAAAAAGGGTAGTGATATGCGTTTTAGGGATTATGAAAATTGTTAAGAAAAGAGTCTGTTTCCTCTCATCTCCCTTCTTATTCTAAGTTTCCCATCTCCTTCTATCTAGCTCTATATTTCCTGATCTTCTTTCCCTTTAGTTAAGTTTTCTTAGTTTCGTTGTAAGGACGTTAAATGTTTCCATTTCTCAATTGTATTTGTGTTCTTCAGCGATTATAATATATATCCTCGTTGTCTAGTAACTTGAGTTGTTACATTGGTGCTTTCATTTTCGTACTCTAAGGGCAATGCTGGTTTTAGATCGATTCACCGGCATGGGTAATCCAGATGACTGGATCTTTCAGGCCGAACGATACTTCGCGGACCTTGGCTTCCCGGAGAATGATTGGCTACCTCTTCCTCTCTTCTATCTCGATGGTGAGGCACTTGACTGGTTCCGTTGGATGTATCGCAACAAACAATTTTGGGATTGGAAGCATTTCAAGGAAAAGTTATCTTTGTGCTTTCGAGCACGAACCACCCCAGAGTCTCCAGTTGCACAATCGCAAATCACGATTATTCTTACTTTGCTACAGAAGGTGCAGGACAATTTTTCAGTTATTTCTAAGCAACTAGACAACACCCATATCCCAACTTCCAATATTTCCAATATCACGGGCTTGTCACCAACAATAATTCAAGAGGCTGCAACAGAAGATGCATTTGACAGTGCTACTACGAGGGATAGCGAAGAGATTGCCTCTGCTTTGGGTGATGGACAATCAAGCATTGCAAATAATTTTGAGGTACATCTTGACACTTTGATCGATACAAACTTCCTTTTAGGACAGATTCGGTCATGGGAGATGAACATTCAAGTCATGCAGACCAAGTGTTTGATGAAAGTTCTCACCAGATTGAAGACTTGGTCCATGAATTTGACATGGCATTTGACTTGGTAGAGGATAATTCAATGGGGTTGCAAATGCCTTTGCAAGTAACTGAGGTGGTAAGTACACCTACTTGGTGCGTTGAAATTGATTATCGTGGTGATATGCACTCTAGGAAATCAAATGTTGCGGAAGATGAATGTCTTGAAACTAATACAGACATAGTGTTTGGTGGAAGTCTCCAGCGAAACAAGTCCACCCTACAGGGACAATTCGCAAATCTGAAGCTTGTAGTGACTGAAAATTCTGTTTTCCATGAGACTTTGAGTTCTAACTTTGATGCACCAATAAGAGTTGATGGTGAGATCTCCCTTATCCCTCGTGATGATGAGGATGAGATTGCTGAGTCTTATCCAAGCCTATTCAATCAGTCATTTTTTGCCCATTTTGGGGCTCTAGCAATTGAGAGCATGAAAGATGGCTTACCCACTTGTTATTGGTTTGACACTGGGCAATATGTTTCTCAGTCCATTACCTTCGTGTTCAGACGTAGGAAATGTGGTGATCATTTATCTGCAACGGACTTTGATAAGAATGATTATCTTCCTATTATTGGCGCTCAAGGTGGCAATGTCCAATTTTTTGCCATTATGTGCTCAAGTTGTTATAGCAGTGGGGACGACTCAAAAACAGCTTGTGAAGGAGCAGCTCACAATTGGTTGCTCGACGTGTTGGTGAGTTACGTCCTAGCTAAAGAATCGGGCAATTCAAAGGTGCACCAAGTGTTCAACACAATATCCAATGAAGCTTGGAAGGTATCCAATGTTATGTTTACTTTGTTACTGGTTGGGGTGCTAGTTGAAACACCTAAAGAAACACGAACTATTCAGCAACTGCACTTAACAGACAAAGAGTATTTGTTTATTACTTTTGGTGGTCGAGAACCTGTAGTGTCACCCTCACAATCCACACACGCCCTACCAATGAGGTATTTAGATGCCAACTTTCCTTGTAGTGGCTTTTCTAGACATAAAATTGATTTGGTGGCATCTGACAAAATGTATGCTGACATAATTTTCCTGAAACTTACCATAATTGAGGATCTATATCTTGATAAACTACTTTTTGAGAATAAGGGTGGTGTTTCAAAGAGTGAGATTCAATCTTATGATGTGAGGAATGATGTTAAACAGGAAAAAATTAACGAGGGAATAAGACATGCTGAATGTTTCTTTCTATGGATGCCGGAGTGAATATGTTCATCGTTAAGGTTGGTGGAACGGTGAAGGTTAATTGTGTGTGGGATCCGGGAATCAGTTCCAAGACTATGCACCAAAATGGTCTTATGGAGACCACCGAGGCACACCTATTGTTCGAATTTATTGATAATACTTCTCGACTTTTTCATTACTTTTTTGATGCTCACTTGAAAGAGAGTACTCAATCTAAAAAAAGGAGGAAGACGACATTAAGGGGACTCTTGGTATTTTCTTATGTGTGGTTGAGTTTGTCACAAGATAATGGATGGCAAGTTTTACTTGATATATATACGTGCGTGGAAGCTAAGTATATGCCTAGTGATATTAAGCTTTGTGTTCTTACTCTTGTTTATGTTGCGTTACTGGAGCCAAAGCAGGAGAGACCTGTTTATAATGGACAACCCCATTATAATGGCCAATATATGTCAATTGACTGCACAATTCTTATGGTACCTATCAGTGTGCCTAAAACGACAATTGTGTTGGTTTAAGGTCAAGAGTACATTTTACCTCCTTGGTTAGTACAGATTCACCCAAATCTCAGAAATATGGCTTTCAACATGCCTATGTTCAGTGCAAAAACTTCATCCCAAATAGTGAGTTGTGATTTGGTTTTATTTGGGACTAATTCATTGTTTCAAGTAGTGCACAAAATCACAATATCAATGACGAAACCACTTGGTGCATGGATTGACAAATATTTAACTGTTGAAGTTATAATGCAGCATGAAAAAGTGTCAACAGATCAATGTGCTTATTGGTGTTTGAAAATGATATATATTTCTCCTGATGACATCTCATTTTGGGTTGATACTCATACTAGTGTGTGTCCAATGATTAATATAAATTGCATGTGTGGTTTTGAGTGCATCTATGTTGCAGGTATTGTGACTTTTAAATGGGTCAAGATTGTTCAATCTACTCAGCTACTGTTATCTGAGGCAATTGGTGAGGAGCATGCTATTTCCATTGTTATTGCCTTGAACCTTGAGGACAAGGTTCTTATTGACGACGGGAGTATTGTTATGAACCAAGTCCATGTAGATACATACAAGTTGTTATTGGGCTGACAAGAGCTATTGGGCCGAGAACGAGCAATAGGGCCAGGTTAATTTGGAATCCGGGTTGAGTAGTGGGCATGAAACGGTTCCAACAAAAAGGGTAGTGATATGTGTTTTAGGGATTATGAAAATTGTTAAGAAAAGAGTCTGTTTCCTCTCATCTCCCTTCTTAGTCTAAGTTTCCCATCTCCTTCTATCTAGCTCTATATTTCCTGATCTTCTTTCCCTTCGGTTAAGTTTTCTCAGTTTCGTTGTAAGGATGTTAATTGTTTCCATTTCTCAATTGTATTTGTGTTCTTCAGCGATTATAATATATATCCTCGTTGTGTGGTAACTTGAGTTGTTACAGATTTTATTACTGGCTATTGCAAGTATCTATTGCTAATCAACTCGTTGAACCTTTAGACTGCCTCTTTCCTAGTCATTTTCTTAATCAGATCTTTGTTGTAATTTTCTATTCTTTTATGACAAATAGTTTAGTTAGCTTGAGCCGTTGTCGCTTAATTCATGTAGGGGGCTGGGGCTTCCCCCCCATGACCTCTTTTAAAGGAGTGTATGTGATCATAATTTCCAGATGTGTTTCACATGAGCTTATTTCTTGTTTCTTCTGATAAAATTTCCGCCTCTTAAAAACTTGCAGGTCGTCAAAGCAGTTCAAGGAAGACTTCCTGTGTTCCTTGACGGTGGAATTCGCCGTGGGACAGATGTCTTTAAAGCACTGGCTCTGGGAGCATCTGGTGTATTTGTAAGTAAAGCTATCACATTATGTGTCACTAATTCTAGAGTGTACCTACTTCAAAAAGAGGCCAACTTACTCGCATTCTTATTTAATTCACATGATCGAATATTCTCTTTTTCCTCCCTTGCCATATTTCCTTTTTTCTTCATCCTCCTACCCTACCCTACCCTTCTCTCATCACCTCTTACGCACATAATGCTGATAAAATCGTATCTTTAAGGTTAAATTCTTCTACACATAAATCAAACGTTTTTTCATTAGGACAAAAGAGATCATTTGTGTGGAGGTGCTGACAGCCGTCTATTTTGCTTGATACATTTACAGATTGGAAGACCAGTTGTGTTTTCATTGGCTGTCGATGGGGAGGCAGGCGTTAGGAAAGTACTTCAGATGCTCCATGATGAGTTTGAACTGACAATGGCCTTAAGTGGTTGTCGCTCAATCAAGGAAATTAGTCGTAGCCATATCACAACTCCTTGGGATCCCCCTCGCGTCACACCCCGGTTATAAGCTGATTTCTCAACTTCATGCAAATGATGATACATACTTATTCATTAATAAAGGTTCCCCCTATGAGAATAATGACCATTAGTTCATCGTCTTTTTTCACAATGGAGAAAAAAGAGACGTTACACCGCACTTTGTGAACGAAAATACATTGCATTTAGAACCTTGAAATTGCATTAGAGCCAGATATTTGGTTCAGATTTGACACATTGTTTCGAGACAAATGCAATGTTGCCCTAACATTGAACTATTGAGGCACGGAACTTTTGAGTGGACAAACACAAATAAATGTGAGGGTGTTAGGCTAAATTTATAAGTTGATTTACAGATATTTGTGGCTTATTTATGTGTGTGGTTAAGCTCATAAGTCAAAATCATTCAAAAGTTATCATAACAACTTACGATTTTTCAGCTTGTTAGAATTTTATTAATCCTTTGTTTGCACGAAAAATATTTGAATTATAGTTTTTTTTTTAAAAATAATTCAGAATATTTTTTTCATTTTGAAAAAAGAACACCTAATTATTACTACTCCATCCATCTAATTTATATGACAGTTTGTTGGAATGTATGCGTCCACCAGTGTTCTTGGGACCAGGTCCCAGACAGAATAAAGTGCAGAAAATGAATAACACAAAGTAAATCAGGCACAATGATTTTACGTGGAAACCTCCTTGCTCAAGGGAGTAAAATCACGACCTGTCACACAGGACTTTTCAAACTGCTTTCACTAATCTTCTCCAAGCAAAAGTAAAAGCCAGTTTATAAAATGAGATTAGCCTGCTAATCTCCAACACTAAGAAATACCTCCTATCACTTAGATGAGCCAAAGCAGATACAACACTGCACACTAAGCTATCACCCCTAGATAACTTAGACTTTGCTAAGCAGATACCACACCGCCCACTAAATCAACTAGTTCCTAGATGACTTAGAATTTGACTAAGCAGCAAAACAATGCTGCCCACTAAACCAGTTAAACTCAACTGATTTAGGCTTTTAGAAATCGAAACAAATAGCTGAATCCTTTATAAACTAGGAACAAATTTACAATATATGCACGGAAGTATAACTCCTAAGACACACTCTGATGGTTGCAGCTTGATCAGGTCCTTGTTGTGCTTACCGGAGAATACTTATTGAAAGTGAGTCTTTGCAAGTGTTCTTGAGAATTTTCAAGTTGCAAAAACTAACAAAACTCAAACTCAACAAAGATGTTTCAGCACTCTATCAGGTCCCTTTGTTGAGCATGAGTACTGTTCTTCCTTGAAGATGACCTTCTTTTAAAGCTTATGAATTTTCAGAGAAAATCCAAGTTTTTGTTTTGCCAAGTCTTGAGTTTGTGGGTTTTGGAAAAAGATAATATAATGAAAATGAACACAATCTCTTTGGGACAGCCCATTGGCGAAGAGCCTGCCTTCTCTGTAAAGACGTGCACCTATCACATCAAAAGTGACAGGTTTACAGCTGTACTGTCGTCCTTTCACATACGCAATCTTGTAGGGTGGTAGGTCCCTTACAGACTTTTCTTAGTAAGTTCTTGAGAAGACGTGCTGGCTCTCTCTCCATTTGAATGAATGAATTAGTTTGTTGTTTGTCATGTTGACTAAGTCAACCATAAAGAGTTAATACACATTGGACAAACAACCTCGTCCCTTTTGATTGGTGTAGTACTTCTGACGGCTTCACCAACTTCTTATGCAGGCAGCTTTTCAGCTGTACCCCATTATAGATCTGGACGAGAGAACTCTGCATGGGACCAGGTCCCTGCATTTGTGAGACACTGAAGCATACAATCTCGTCCGCTCTTTCTATTGGTGTAGGACCCTGCACTTTTCACCTACCACCTAACATTACAACTTTACAGTTGTACTCCATTTGTATCTGGACGAGAGCACTCTGCCAGGGACCAGATCCCTGCATTTGTAAGGATCATCAAAACACCTAGAATATAACATTTCCCCCTTTTTTTGATGATTACACACAAATATTCCTCACACTAAGTTTATTCATTCATTTCCTTGTCAGTAGTCCCAATAACAAGGATCTGGTTCCTTGTTAGATTGATAAGTTTGTTAAATCATCAAAACTTCATATCAATTTCGAACTAACATCTCATTTCAGCTTCAAACTAACATTCTCCATTTCCCCCCTTTTTGATGATAACATACTTATTCATCAGTTCCCCTATCAACAAGAACTCTTCGGTAACTTGAGTTTCATCATCCCCGAAGATTGTCAAATCATCAAAAGATCAAAATATCATTTTCCCCCTTTTGATGATAACAAACTTATTCACCAGTTTCCCCTATCAACAAGAACTCTTCAGGTAACTGCAATTTCATCATCCTCGAAGTTTGTCAAATCATCAAAACATCAAAATAGCATTTTCCCTCTTTTTGATGTTGACAAACAACTTCTTCACCCTATCGGTAAGACCATGTCCTCTTCAAGTAGCTAGCATTGATTCCCCCTATTGGCAAGATCCTGTCTTCTTCAAGTAGCTAGCATTTATTCCCCTTATCGGCATGTCCTTGTCTTCTTCAAGGTAGCTAACATCATTGATCTCATACCTTTAACAATTACTTTCCCCCTTTTGATATCATAAAAAGGGTTAAAGCAGTAAACCAAGTTGACAGAAATGCAGTTCAAGCAAATTCATGGCCACTTGGGCGACACTGAGCATGAGTATAAATGCATAAAGTAATGAGATAGGTCAATAGAAGCAAGACATTTTTTCATTCAAAAATAAAGGATCAGCTATCAAAACATTGCACATAATATTACGAATGAGAACCAAGATAATGCCTACTTAGGTTCAATAGAAAAGAAGGAACGATGATTGACTTAGAAAGTTAGGAAGAGAAGGGATGACTTAGAGGAAAGAGATTGAAAGAATAGAATTAGTAGAGCATATCCCTTAGCATGGTATTTTCAGAAGCCTCATTTGAAGCTCACATTCTTTGCTGCCCAGCCTTTATGTTGAACCTTCAGGGCTCTTGCCAGTTTTTTTTTCAACCTGGTCCCTCTGATAGTGCTGTTTCAAAGGCTGAGCTTTTAGACAACCCATTTCAGTATCCCAGTTAGCAAGAGCAACTATCATAGCTTCCAACACTAGCCTGAGTTTCTCATAACAAAAAGATTGGTAAAATCAAACTTACCCAAAGCCTCCGCGATGAATAGATCAATATTGAGGAACCAAAAAGAAAATTTCATTTCATTCTAATTTTATTTAAAATCAGACACCCTCTTATTTAGAATACTTTCACTTTTCAGAATATCAACTTCCCGCTTTTGAACATCTTTTCCACATCTTCCTTTTGCTTGGTGGACCTGGTCCCTCTTCACACTTGAAACATCTTCATCATAAAAATCTCCAGTAAGAACAAAGAGTTTAACTATTTGAAGTGTTTTTGAGAGAGGAGAAAAAAGGTTTTTTTTTTTAATTTCTGATCTTGGAGGGGGATTTGAAAAGACATATGGAGTATAAAGAAAGTGAAAGGATGTATTATGGGAAAGAAGGTGTCATTTAGGCATTCAAAAGATGGGACAATGATCAGATACCTGACTGACAGACATGTGGCAATTGTAACGGTTCACATGGATAATTCAAACTGCAATGTTAAGAGTGCTAACCTTGGATAACGGATAAGGTCCCTCTCTGATGTTTGAATGTGATTTGCCTGTATCTATTCTGACCTCTCCTTTCCTTCAGCCCTTTTGCCACGTGTGTATACCTACAAAAGGTATGAAACTGAATTTGCTAAAGCATACATAACTGCAAAGCAAGGATACCTGCTCCCTTTGCATAGTCATGAGAGAGTTGATTGCTTCAGGCAGGACCGAATCAATAAGGTTTCAACATTTCCATCATCAATTGATTATTTCAGCCAAATCTTTAAGAGCTTCAGTCTGCTGCTTGATCCATAAGATTTGACCACATCAAGTTGCACTTGCCACATTCTCTACCTCAGTTGTTGAAAGAGCAATTGAATCTTGCCTTTTAGTTCCCCATGAGTGAGAGTTCATCCTTTAACATAAGTCACTCCTGAGGTGCTCTTTCCATCAACTCGATACCCAGCATAATCAGCATTACATGTTCCTCCAAATAAAAAAGTCTCCTGATGGATAGAATAGAACCAGGTCCCCTGTCTTCTTCAAACATCAATTGCCTTGAACTCTGTGTTATCTTCTTCTCTGTAGCTAAGTTCCTATGAGAGTATACAACTGGTCCTTGCTTAGGGCTTCAGTGAAGAAGTCAGCCTCTTGATCTTCCATTTTGCAAAACTTCATTATGACATTACCCCTCTTTAACATTGTCTTGACTTCAAGCATGTTAAGCCATTTGAGCAGCTCATTGATGTACTTTTCTTGATACCCGAGGATACCTTTAGAGGTTTGCTTGATCTACAGCTCCAAGAAGAAATTTAATTCTTCCATTTTGTTCACTTCAAAACTCATTATTCATGAGTGCAACAAACTCTTCACATAACACCTCAAAGGTTGCTTCAAAGATGACATCATCAATATGTACTTGAATAATCATCAATTCCTTTCCTTGTGATTTCAACAAGAGAGTTTTTGACAATTTAACCTCTTTTGAAGCCATTGTTGAGGAGGAATTTGGATAACCTATCAGCTTGTTGGGGAATCGAGTGTCATACTTTGCTTTTTTCAAACTGAGCTTTATCAGCCTCTTCATTCTCACCTTCAGAATTCACATTATCAGTTTGAAATGAGTCATCTTTTTTCAACACTGTCTAACAGACCAGGTCCCTCATCTGGTTCATCATTTGCATCATCTTCTTTGAGATTGTTGTATTCATGAAGAGGATGTTCTTTATCAAGCTCACTATTAAAACCGTCTCTCTGAATCTGAAGCAACCCTTTCATTTCAGAATCTTCTTTCTTTTGCAACTTCTCAACTCTTCCAAACTCATCAAAAAATCACATGATCACCTTTTTATACACCCCATAAGCCTTGCTGGAGGAAGAGTATACCGCAACTATTCTTTCATCAATATTGAAATCAAACTTCTCAATATCATCCTTTTGGTCTCAAAACATGTAGTGTTCACCACTTCAGCCCGAAAG